GATAGCTTTTCAGAATTCACTGATAAATCCGTCCACGTGGAAAACTAAAAGGCATAGAAACCGTAAAGGATTTGGAATTAAAAAGTAATTTTGGACTGACCAATGTAGATCGTTTCAAATACATGCAACTTAAAAGTCACATATCACGAAATGTCAATTTGAAATATTTTGGATATCAGAGCAACCTTGAGGGAATCTTATTTTAGTCCAAAAAATATGTTCATATGATAGGTAAGATATAGGCTACAACACCTTGCAGAGAGCATATCCAACTCACAATATCTGAGAAAAAAATATAAACTATTGGAGTCAAGACTTAGAACATTTCAAGCATTACTAATGAAATGACAGTTAATGAAAATGTACGCTTAATCCAGTATAAACTAATGTATAGAATGTATTATATAGGAGAGAAAATTCACAAAAAAGTCATGTCTTAAGTGTAAAACGAACAATGATTCAATAATCCAGGCTTTCTGGGAATACTATAAAGTCCAAAAGTTATGGATGGAGCTATGAAGTTGGCTGTCAGAAGTATTACAATGTAAACTTACTTATATGTATGTCTGCATATTTCAAGACATGGTATATGGGGGTGTAGTGGCTAGCTGTGCCACTAGATATCCTGGTTCGAATCCAGGCTCTGTCGTAGCCGGCCATGACCGGGAGACCCATGGGGCCGCGCACAATTGGCCCAGCGTCGTCCAGGGTAGGGGAGGGAATGGCCGGCAGGGATGTAGAGCACAGGGTTGTGGGTTCGATTCCCACGGGGGGTCAGTATGAAAAATTAAAAAAAAGTGTAATATAAGTCGCTCTGGATAAGAGCGTCTGCTAAATGACTAAAATGTAAATGTAAATGTAGTGAGATACCCAATGGGCTGGAAGATTGTCTTCTCATCACTCATTTTGAAAAAACGTTTATTAAAAAAATTGGAAATCTATTAATCCGCCATCATTAACACAATGGAAAAATCTAATTATTTATTATTGAAATATTGAAATAGCATAGGTGACCGAGAAAAAGTACAGTGTATTCGGACTCCTTTACTTTTTCCACATTTTGTTACGTTCCAGCCTTATTCTAAAATTGATTAAATTGTTTTTTCCCCTCATCAATCTACACACAATACCTCATGACAAAGCAAAAACAGGTTTTTAGACATTAAAAAAAATGGAAATATCACATTTACGTAAGTATTCAGACCCTTTACTCAATACTTTGTTAAAGCACCGTTGGCAGCGATTGCAGCCTCAAGTCTTCTTGGGTATGGCGCTACAAGCTTGACACACCTGTTTTTGGGGAGTTTCTCCCATTCTTCTCTACAGATCCTCTCAAATTCTGGCAGGTTGGATGGGGAGCGTCGCTCCACAGCTATTTTCAGGTCTCTCCAGAGATGTTCGATCGGGTTCAAGTCCAGGCTCTGGCTGGGCCATTCAAGGACATTCAGAGACTTGTCCCGAAGCCACTCCTGTGTTGTCTTGGCTGTGTGCTTGGGGTCGTTGTCCTGTTGGAAGGTGAACCTTCACCCCAGTCTGAGGTCCTGAGTGCTCTGGAGCAGGTTTTCATCAAGGATCTCTCATCATTTCCTCAATCCTGACTAGTCTCCCAGTCTCTGCCGCTGAAAAACATCCCCACAGCATGATGCTGCCACCACCATGCTTCACTGTAGGGATGGTGCCTGGTTTCCTTCAGATGTGACGCTTGGCATTCAGGCCAAAGAGTTCAATTTTGGTTTCTTCAGACCAGAGAATCTTGTTTCTCATGGTCTGAGAGTCCTTTAGGTGCCTTTTGGCAAACTCCAAGTGGGCTGTCATGTGCCTTTTACTGAGGAGTGGCATCCGTCTGGCCACTCTATCATAAAAGCCTGATTGGTGGAGTGCTGCAGAGATGGTTGTCCTTCTGGAAGGTTCTCCCATCTCCCCAGAGGAACTCTGGAGCTCTGTCAGAGTGACCATCGGGTTCTTGGTGACCTCCCTGACCAAGGTCCTTCTCCCCCGATTGCTCTGTTTGGCTGGGCGGCCAGCTCTAGGAAGAGTCTTGGTGGTTCCAAACATCTTCCATTTAAGAATGATGGAGGCCACTGTGTTCTTGGGGACCTTCAATGCTGCAGACCTTTTTTGGTACCCTTTCCCATATCTGTGCCTCGACACAATCCTGTCTCGGAGCTCTACGGACAATTCCTTCGACCTCATGGCTTGATTTTTGCTCTGACATGCACTGTGAACTGTGGGACCTTTATATAGACAGGTGTGTACCTTTCCAAATCATGTTCAATCAACTGAATTTACCACAGGTGGACTCTAATCAAGTTGTAGAAACATCCGAAGGGTGATCAATGTAAACAGGATGCACCTGAGCTACATTTTGAGTCTCATAGCAAACGGTCTGAATACTTATGTAAATACGACATTTCTGTTTTTTATTTTTAATACACTTGCAAAAATTTATAAAAACCTGTTTTCGCTTTGTCATTATGGGGTATTGTGTGTAGATCGATGAGGGGGAAAAAATATTGAATCCATTTTAGAATAAAATGTGGAAAAAATAACGTAACAAAATGTGGAAAAAGTCAAGGGGCCTGAATACTTTCCGAATGCAGTGTAAATGCACATGCATTAGCAGGCACACATGCACGTCTGCTCTAGACATCTTGTAGTCTACTGTGACTTTACTCTAAAGAACCACAGGATGGCGCTACATCACTGAACCTTTCTAGATTGTGGACTAGTCCCACACTTCACTTTACAAACTGGTCCCAAATGTAGATCATTTTTCTCCAAATGGACAATGTGATTTTGTTGGCTATATACCTACATTATTTAGGACGTTTTCTTCTCCTTTTTTTGTTGTCTTAGAATGTTTAGGCGCGTTCCTTCTCTTTAGTTTACATAATACAAGTTCAACTCGGTCGAATTGTAGTGCACATAACGTCACGTGAATTTGGGAAGGCTTCTGTCCTGTTTGGCAATCCGCATTCCTCCTCTCGCTATCAGTCCTAAGCACAACTCGGGTCACTCTCGGAGAGAACACACTGAAAACAGCCGACCGTACCCGGACTACTGATAGGACAACGAATTTTGCACAAAAGGAATAGTTTATCCCAAGCATAAACTCTCAAACAACAGGAAAACTTTCCATTATTATATTGAGAACTCCAGGACACAGGCACCATGACGAGGTTTTGCAGGCAAACGACGAGTCAATAGAAAGGTACGTCTTATGTTATCCCTCACGGGTTACTGGAAGGCTCGCGGTTCGCCGAGGGAACCGTTCTTTCATAGCTCAATGGTGGGAACTTACACCCGTAACATTGTTTCCCCGTTTGTCTCAGGCTACTTGGTTACAATAGCCAGTCTACTTCTCTGCATAGACAATTTCCGAATGTGTTGTCTAAAGGAGTTCTGCTGCATAGTTTTTAACTAGACCTTAACTAATTTGGACCTTTATAATTTAGGGCAAACTTTCCTCCGCTGACGGCATCAAGTCTGTCACTGGTCCTCTACTGCATCAGGGCTCTATTGTGGTCCAATACTCTTCATGGTTATTAGGCTTCTCGTGCAGGGGTAAGGGAATGGCCTAGCCCTTGACCATGACTCTCAGTTCCATTTCATTCAACTAAGTCATTGGATAAAGGCTTCTTCTGTAGGGGGGGGGGGGGTTTGTTAATATTCCCGACGCTCGGTCAGAACATTAACTTGCGCGATGCGGTACGGTTTTGGAAGCATAAGGACCTTACCTTTCATATCAGTGAGAAATAATTTTCTAAAAACAGAAGGTTCAATTGATACACACACATTGATAGAGTTATGGTTAGTGTTCCCACCAGCGCTTGACTTGGGATGAAATAAGTGCAGGAGCTGTCTTTTCCAAGTCAGTCCATAAGACTATGTTCACTGAAATTCACAAATGACATTTTAAGCAAAAAGGCCCGAGGAGGTGTGGTATATGGCCAATACACCACAGCTAAGGGCTGTTCTTATGTACGACACAACACAGAGTTCCTGGATACACCCCTTAGCCGTGGTATATTGGCCATATATCACAAACCCCGAGGTGCCTTATTGCTATTATAAACTGGTTACCAATGTAATTAGAGCAGTAAAAATAAATGTTTTGTCATACCCCTGGTATAAAGTCTGATATACCATGGCTGTCAGCCAATCAGCATTCAGGGCTCGAACCACCCATTTTTATAATATGCTATAGAGACCGCTGATGATTCAGTTAAGGGTTTATACACATTTTTCATGACTTCTCCATGACTTTTAACCAATTTTTCATGACTATTATTATAGCCTACATGAAAAAGTAAGCAATATTGACACTGGAAGGCTGCTATGTTTGATTCCATGTAGACCTACCATCTCCTGCCATTGTGCCCTTGATCAAGGCACTTAACCCTCCACAAAGTAGAACTGCACTGTTAGTCACCATCTGGAGAGCTCCTGGGTGTACAGCTTGGCTTTTGATCCAGCCCTGAGTTTGCTTATCAAGTTCCTGTTGAGCAGCTGATGTTTAGGCTACAATGTGGTTAGACCAGGGCTTGAACAAAAGCCTGCACACCCAGTAGCTATCCTGGAGGATGGTTGCCATCCTTGATATAAAATATTGCAACATAACAACCAAATACTTTTGTCTTTTATAAAATTATTCCCTCATTCAATGAATCAGGGATCAAATGGATAAGGTAGACTACTTCAAAGCGAGGTATCTAACTAGACACGTTTATATATAAGGCTAAAATATTCATGTTTCAGGAGAGATCTATGCACAGAGTTTTCAATACCTAAGGAATGACCCAACTTGTGACCTCACAGACAGCTCTAACCCTGAAAAGTAAGGACTCACTCGGCTACCCCTCCAGCTGTGATTCTGATTGATCTCTCTCTGTGTGTTTACAACCAGGGGTTATTGCAGTTCTCTGCGGGGTTGGGACCAGTCGGGTCGGACGAGACTCCAGCTCCGCAGTTAGAAAGAAAAGACGAGTGATTGACACACCATGGAGGGCGGGAACGAGGTAGATCTGTCCAACAATAACATCACCCCTCTGTGGAAGCGGCGCTCAGCCAACCACACTGGCCCCAGCAAGCCAAAGGCCCGGCCCCTCAGCTACCAGATAGACGGAGTCCACATGACTGACTTCCCCGTAGAGGACAACAAGTGCAGCTTTACACTGAGCCAGCCTACAGAGAGACTGGTGGCTACGCCGGGAGGAGGGACGGTCATTCTGAAGCACGTTCTCAACCAACCCACCAGGAAAACACGGGTGGTCAGAAGTATAAGCATTGGACATCTGTCCAAAGGACGTTTCTCTCTATCCAAGATCAAATCGGAGGATGATAAATCGCCGTCATTGAACAGTAAGGCGTACCACGGTGGGAGTGTTGGTAATATTGGTAATGGGGAGAAGGTGTGGTCGGACAAGCGGCCGCAGGACGCCCAGAATCGACTCTCCAGCCCGTTCACACTCACCGCTCACCGGGACCAGATAGTGTTTGGGACGAGCCCTTCACCGCCGGACCCTGCTCCTCCAAACACCCCTCTCCCCCTGCCACCCCCAATAACAACAACCATAACCACCAACACCATAACCAGACCTCCCCTTCTTCCTACCACCCCTTAAACCCCAGCCCCTCCACCCCTAGTCTCCACACCCCTACCCCATCCCACAGCTCCACCTCCAGTATCCACGCCCTCTCCTCCCTCACCTCTACCCCTTCTGATCCCCCCACACCCTGCAGCCCCTCCCCTGCTGACATATCTGCCCCCTCTCCTTCCCCCACTCCCTCCCTCTCTCCTCCTCCCTCCATTGTCCTCAGCACCCACAGTGCTGCTGCCCTGAAGATGGGCACCCAGCAGCTGATACCCAAAGGCCTGGCGTCCCTGAGCAAGGCCTGTCCTGCTGGGGTACAGAGCCAGGCCCTGGGGGTTTCGCTGGGCCTGGATCCTACCAAGCGGGCCCTGCGAGCCCTCAGCATGGTGGAGACTGGAACCTTCTTCTCCACGGGTGGAGGGACCGGGGGAAAGGGACAGACCAGGATGAGAGCCCTGCGACTCTGAAGAGAGGGTTGAGGTCTACCTCGTACAGGAAAGCAGTGGTGAGTGGCGTGGAAATGGAAAGTACCGTCTGTAGACCCCAAGACCCATCGTCTGTCCCAACCTACACTCAAAGGACTACAGGAGGTCAAGGAGAGACCTACCAGCCCTGGGAAGAAGAACAAGGTAGGAGGAGATTTATTCAGTCATTATTTTCCAGGAAATTGTCATTACTGTTAACTGCTATGTCATGGAACCGTTCTCCTCTTGCTTTGGCCTGTGTGCCTGGATATTATTACTGTCTGTTACCCTGCAGAGTCACACTACAGTTTACTAACACTACTCTGCCTGATGGGTTCATGTTGTTGTTCTACTGAAGTTCAGATCAGGACCAAAGTCCACAGCTAGCTTAAAGTTGGAACAATGTCAGGAGGAGCTTGTGTTGCAGTCAGGCTAATAGTGAAGACTTATGATTGCAATACACACACACACACACACACACACACACTTCAGTCCACTGCTCTGTAATTAGGCGGGGTCAGGCTGACAGGTCAGTGCAGAGGTCAGGGGTCAAGAGCAGGTGACAGGGGACCTACTTACACCCGTCATTTAGAATGTGACAGATGTGTGATGTGGGTTCATAATGGAATTCATGAACAGATTTGGCTAATAGCATCACTTAGGATATTGTTCTGACTATGCTCATGACAACGGATCTAGTGACTGTCTTATTTCTCAGTTCATAATGGGAATATACAGTAAGGCTGGGGCAGGGAGAGCTGATCCTGGGCCTGTTGTTAATAGTGACATAGCCATGGGGTCGTCTTCTCTTCTCTCTCTCAGAGTCCTGATAAGAAGCCAGGACTGATCACACAGAGGACATTTGACAGTGAAGGTGAGTGCCACTTCTCTGTCTTAGTCATGTGTATGACTGTGACTTTCTATCCACATGTTTGAGGTCTTGCTTTCATTGGGGACTGTACTATTGTGATCCAACCTCAACCGGTCTCAACCTGTCTGTGTATCTGTGGTGTGATCCACCCTCAACCTGTCTGTGTATCTGTGGTGTGATCCACCCTCAACCTGTCTGTGTATCTTGTGGTGTGATCCACCCTCAACCTGTCTGTGTATCTGTGGTGTGATCCACCCTCATCCTGTCTGTGTATCTGTGGTGTGATCCACCCTCAACCTGTCTGTGTATCTGTGGTGTGATCCACCCTCAACCTGTCTGTGTATCTGTGGTGTGATCCACCCTCAACCTGTCTGTGTATCTGTGGTGTGATCCACCCTCAACCTGTCTGTGTATCTGTGGTGTGATCCACCCTCAACCTGTCTGTGTATCTGTGGTGTGATCCACCCGGGACCCTCAAACCTGTCTGTGTATCTGTGGTGTGATCACCCTCAACCTGTCTGTGTATCTGTGGTGTGATCCACCCCAACCTGTATGTGTATCTGTGGTGTGATCCACCCTCAACCTGTCTGTGTATCTGTGGTGTGATCCACCCTCAACCTGTTCTGTGTATCTGTGGTGTGATCCACCCTCAACCTGTCTGTGTATCTGTGGTGTGATCCACCCTCAACCTGTCTGTGTATCTGTGGTGTGATCCACCCTCATCCTGTCTGTGTATCTGTGGTGTGATCCAGAGGAGGTACTGTATCAGAACTACCAGGAGAAAGCTCTTCACAATGACTCTGATGAGGACCAGTCCAGAGAGCCCAAACCTGACGACCGCATCGTGTTGCAGTACAGACCCATACGCACCTCCTGGAGCCAACTCAGTGTGGTGAGACACACACACACACACACACACACACACAGTGAATCGTGGTGCAGTGCCAGTGCTGTGAGGGATGTTGTCCATCCTCTGTCTCTCTCTCTCGTCTCTGTCTCTGTCTCTCTCTCTCTCTGTCTCTTCATTACTCTCTGTCTAGATAGAGAATTAGAACAGGGAGGGTGAGGGAGAAGAAGAGGGAGGGTGAGGGAGAAGAAGAGGGAGGGTGAGGGAGAAGAAGAAGGAGGGTGAGGGAGAAGAAGAAGGAGGGTGAGGGAGAAGAAGAGGGAGGGTGAGGGAGAAGAAGAGGGAGGGTGAAAGATCTGGGACAGCAGACTGGGAGCACCACCCGGCATGGCGCCAGCTTTCTGGCAAACACCAGAGATTCTTCTCAGTGGAAAAATGTTAAATATGTTTTCCCTAGCGAGCAGTGTGGTGACTCCGATTATGACATGATCTCATCCAGTTTGGGCCCAGGATGGTAGGATAGAGGGAGGGAGAGAAAGGAGGGGGGCAAGTGCTGTTGTCCACTTAGGTGTTCTGTTCTCCTCGTTGATGTTTACTCTTGTCTGGAGCTGCTGAAGGAGGGAGGGAGGGATGGACATGCACAGATACAACTGGAGACACACTTTTAGAGGGAATGAGCAGGAAATTAAACTGAAATTTGATTAAATGTTGGCTCCTATGCTGGTGTGTGTGTCTGATGTTGCACAGTAGAGGACAGTGCTGAGGAGACGGTAGAGGACATTACTGAGGAGACGGTAGAGGACATTACTTAGGAGACGGTAGAGGACATTACTGAGGAGACGGTAGAGGACATTACTGAGGAGACGTGTATAGGACATTACTGAGGAGACGTCTGTTTTAGAGGGACATTACTGAGGAGACGGTTTAGAGGACATTACTGAGGAGACGGTAGAGGACATTCTGATGAGACGGTTAGAGGGACATTAACTGAGGAGACGGTAGAGGACAGTGCTGAGGAGACGGTAGAGGACATTACTGAGGAGACGGTAGAGGACATTACTGAGGAGACGGTAGAGGACATTACTGAGGAGACGGTAGAGGACATTACTGAGGAGACGGTAGAGGACATTGGCGCGGTGACGGTAGAGGACATTACTGAGGTGACGGTAGAGGACATTACTGGGGAGACGGTAGAGGACAGTGCTGAGGAGACGGTAGAGGACAGTGCTGAGGAGACGGTAGAGGACATTACTGAGGAGACGGTAGAGGACATTACTGAGGAGACGGTAGAGGACAGTGCTGAGGAGACGGTAGAGGACATTGCTGAGGAGACGGTAGAGGACAGTGCTGAGGAGACGGTAGAGGACAGTTAGTTCTGATAGAAATATTCAAACAAAGATTGACTTAACCACATGTTTCAAATGTGTAGAGAACGGAGGAGAAGAGGGGAAGATATGAGAAGATAAAGAGGTATACAATACCACTAACCTGTCCCCATCCCTGTCCTGTCCCTATCCTGTCCCTGTCCTGTGTCTGATGCCAGATGCTGTTTCCCTGTGACAGGGCAGGCTGTAGTGTTTTATAGTAGTTGGATGTTCTGCTGTTTCCCTGTGACAGGGCAGGCTGTAGTGTTTTATAGTAGTTGGATGTTCTGCTGTTTCCCCTGGTCAGTAACTGATGGTAAGTAACCTGGGGGTTTCCTTCTCTGAAGGAGCAGAAAGATCTACACTCCTGGAAATGAGAGAATGATTTGATTCCATGTTTAACGGATGGACAAAGTGGCATTAATGTCTTAACTGACAGAACCTGTTCCCACTCTCAACCTTCACTTCCCAGCCTGACAGCTACTGCTTTGGTTCAGACTTTTCCAGAAGTCTCTAGTTTCCAGTAACACCTGTAGGGTTAGACCTTCTCTGTTTCCTAGAAGTCTCTAGTTTCCAGTAACACCTGGGGTTAGACCTTCTCTGTTTCCTAGAAGTCTCTAGTTTCCAGTAACACCTGTAGGGTTAGACTCTTCTCTGTTTCCTAGAAGTCTCTAGTTTCCAGTAACACCTGTAGGGTTAGACTCTTCTCTGTTTCCTAGAAGTCTCTAGTTTCCAGTAACACCTGTAGGGTTAGACTCTTCTCTGTTTCCTAGAAGTCTCTAGTTTCCAGTAACACCTGTAGGGTTAGACTCTTCTCTGTTTCCTAGAAGTCTCTAGTTTCCAGTAACACCTGTAGGGTTAGACTCTTCTCTGTTTCCTAGAAGTCTCTAGTTTCCAGTAAACACCTGTAGGGTTAGACTCTTATCTGTTTCCTAGAAGTCTCTAGTTTCCAGTAACACCTGTAGGGTTAGACTCCTTCTCTGTTTCCTAGAAGTCTCTAGTTTCCAGTAACACCTGTAGGGTTAGACTCTTCTCTGTTTCCTAGAAGTCTCTAGTTTCCAGTAACACCTGTAGGGTTAGACTCTTCCTCTGTTTCCTAGAAGTCTCTAGTTTCCAGTAACACCTGTAGGGTTAGACTCTTCTCTGGTTTCCTAGAAGTCTCTATTTCCAGTAACACCTGTAGGGTTAGACTCTTCTCTGTTTCTAGAAGTCTCTCTAGTTTCCAGTAACACCTGTAGGGTTAGACTCTTCTCTGTTTCCTAGAAGTCTCTAGTTTCCAGTAACACCTGTAGGGTTAGACTCTTCTCTGTTTCCTAGAAGTCTCTAGTTTCCAGTAACACCCTGTAGTGGTTAGACTCTTCTACTGTTTCCCTAGAAGTCTCTAGTTTCCAGTAACACCTGTAGGGTTAGACTCTTCTCTGTTTCCTAGAAGTCTCTAGTTTCCAGTAACATTAGGGACAGGAGGAAGTGGTGTATCTAAGAGTGTTGACACAATACTCTTGGATGAGAGGTTTAACCCCCCCCCCCAATGGTTAAGGATAGGACAGGGGAGGGTAAGATGATACTAGATTTGTACCTATGGCCAACCTCTTACCCCAAGCACTCCCTATTGACTGAATACTGTGTTTCGGTTGTCACAGTTACGCCTGTCCCTCTGTGTTCTCAGGGAAACTCCAAAAGCAGGGCTATTCAGTTGTCGTGGCGGGAAGGTGGTTGCTAGGACACTAAGGACTTGCGAGGCCGTAGATAGATAAATAGACGTTGATTGCCTTTAAAGGGAATTTGACTTGCACATTGTCTTGTGATTATTATTTGACCCAGCTGGTCATCTATGAATGTTTCAACATCTTGGAGAAAAATATGACGTTAATGGCCATGTACCATGGCAGATGTCTCTAGTGGAGGGGGGAAATGTCTCTGG